GTAATGAGTCCGCTTGGATCACGATGTGGATATTAACAGGAAATATTCTGCAGGCAGTTCAAGACAGTGGCTGAAGCGTAAAGGGAGCCTTAATAGCCCCACACCCACGTCCGGAACATTCCCCTTAGGGCTGAGGATGTTCAAACGCTCCGAGGACCCTCTGTCCCAGGCCGTGGGGCCGTCGGGGCTGGCATCCGGCCACTGGCACCCGTTTGCCGGGTGCTCAGAGAAAGGGGTGCTTGCGGCTCTGGAGTCAAAGCACAGTCAGACCGGGGTGCGTCTCCCGATCATCAAATGTGGGAGCATAGAGCCCACCTCAAGGCCTTATTCTAAGCCAGCGGTTCTCAACCTTCCTAATGCCGCGGCCCTTTAATGCAGTTCCTCAGGTTGTGGTGACCCCCGATTTCATTGTTACAAATTGAACATAATTAAAGCATAGTGATTCATCACAAAAACAATATATGATTATATATGTATTTTCCGATGGTCTTAGGCGACCCCTGTGAAAGAGTTGTTTGACCCACAGGTTGAGAACCGCTGTTCAGTGCAGTCGATGCTGAAAAGTCCTGTGCAGACGGCAGAGGGCGTGTAAGGGGGACGTTCAGGGCTGCTGATGGACAGGAGAGAGGCACGGTGTGCCCCTTGCTCACGCCCTTGGCCTCCCAGTTTCATGCTTCCATGCCTGCCTCACCAACAATTTCAGAGCTGCGCCTCAGTGGGCTCATTAACATCAGCCTCGGGGCGGCCCTTGAAGGCCCCCTCAGCTCTCTGACCTCCGGTGTCCAATGTCCTCATCGGTTACGTGGACATAACAATCCGACTATGGAAGCCACTCTGCGGGGGGCAGGCGCCCGTGGGCGTAAGGTCACTGGAGAGAGTGTGTCTCCGAAATACTGAGTCCTGCCCGGCTGGCGTGGCTCAGGGGTTGAGCGTCGACCTATGAACCAGGAGGTCACGGTTTGATTCCCAGTCAGGGCACATGCCTGGGTTGCAGGCTCGATCCCCAGTGTGGGGCGTGTGGGAGGCAGCCCATCAATGATTCTCTCCCATCCTTGAAGCTTCTAGATCTCTCTCCCGCCCCCTTCCTCTCTGAATCAATAATAAAAATATATTTTAGCCCTAACCGGTTTGGCTCAGTGGGTAGAGCGTCGGCCTGGGGACTGAAGGGTCCCAGGTTCAATTCAGGTCAAGGGCATGTACCTTAGCTGCGGGCACATCCCCAATAGGGGGTGTACAGGAGGCAGCTGATTCTCTCTCATTGATGTTTCTAACTCTTTATCCCTTCCTCTCTGTAAAAAATCAATAAAATATATTTAGAAAATGTATTTTTTAAAAATGACAACAGCCAACACAACAGCAGCGGATCAGGGTAAATGAGTCAGAATACCTATTTATTTGGTCAGGTCAGCAAAAAAAATAATATTTTTTTTGGTGTGCCGCAGAATTTTAGTAACAGTTTCTGTGCCGTGAGATAAGAAAGGCTGCTGCCTCAGAGGGTGGGTCTAAAGACTCAGAACCACGAAGATGCTCACAGGCAACGTGTCCAGTCTCGTTCCCTTTTCTTCCATCTCTTTCCCCAAACTTAGGACGCAGGCAGACTCCCTTAGCAGCGAAAGGACCCAGTCTGCCCCCTGGCCGCCTTCCCACCTTCTCGGTGCTTCCTTCCCAGAGCTCGGAAGGCCACTGTCCCCCATGACGGCCGCCAGCCTTGGGGCTCTCCGGGCCCTAAGACCTGAGCTCTAGCTGCCATTTGCGTAAAACAGGTGTAAGACACGCATTGGAGTGTGAAAAAAGAAGGGAAACATCTCCATCATTTTTTGTCTCGATTGCATGTTGAAACGGTCCGATGTGGGATACCATGATTCACCAACACATGCCATTGAAATAAATGGCACCTGCCCAGCCGGGTGTGGCTCAGCGGTTGAGCGGCGACCCAGGAACCAAGGGGTCGCTGGTGCCATTCCCGGTCAAGGGCATAGGCCCTGGTTATGGCCTTGGTCCCCAGTGGGGGGCTTGCAGGAGGCAGCTGATCAGTGATTCTCTCTCATCATGGATGTTTCTCTCTCTCTCCTTCTTCCTTCCTCTCTGAAATCAATAAAAATATATTTAAAAAGAAAGATAACAATGTATCATTAGTTTTAAAAAATAAAATAAATAAATGCCCCCTGTTCCGATGACTTTCTAAAAAGGAGGTGGCTCCTAGAAACCGCCCCGTGAGCCAGGTGGCTCCCGTGACATTTCCCCAGTGGACAGGCTGCCCCAGACCCCCCTTCCTTGCTGTGGGGGCGCAGGCCTGGCTTCTCACCCACCCCCAGGTTTCTCATTGAGTTGTACCTGTGAGAGCGTCCTTCTTGGCCCGCGTTCGGGTCCTGCTCCCACGGCCTCTGGGCTGTCTGGGGGCTGGCCCTCCCGCGCGGCCCCAGCCTATCTGTAGGATGAGCTATAGCCCCGGGGGGACGTTTTGAGTGACTGGTCACAAGGGGGCCCTTCTGGACGGGGTGGCCCCGAGGTGAACGAGGCCCCGACCTGCGCGCATCCATATTCATCAGCCCATAAAGTTCAATCATGGGTGCATTAATGCGCTTTACGGGGGCTGGAGCCTCGGGCAAGAATAGTAATGAGCAGAGGGGAAAGGGCTCCTCCATCGACAGTCACGAGGACGAGGATGGGGAGCAGCTGAATAATGAGAGACAAGTGCCCCAGGAACCAGGACCGGCCCTCAGACACACGGCGTCTGCTTTCGCCTGGTGTTGGAACTCTTCCGCCATCGGAAAGCTCCTTAGCCGCCCACAGGCCCTCCCTTTGGCATCAGAGGGTGGGTGCGTGGAGTCTTACCCAGGGGCACCGTGGGTCCCAAGCAGGGCTCCTCGGTTTGCAGATGGGGGAACTGAGGCACAGATGTGTTGAGGACTTGCCAAAAGCCATACAACCAATGGGTGGGGATGGTGGGTCTGAAGCAGTGTAGTTGGGGGTCTCATTTTATTTTTATTTACTATTTTTTTAAAATATATTTTTTATTGATTTTAGAGAGGAAGGGAGAGGGAGGGACAGATAGAAACATCAATGATGAGAGAGGATCATGGATGGGCTGCCCCCTGCAAACTCCACACCAGGCATGCCCCCTGAATGGGAATCGAACTGTGACCTCCTGGTTCACAGGTCAAAGCTCAACTACTGAGCCACACCGGCTGGGCAATGTCTCTCTTACATGTTTCTTCCCCCCACTCACCCCCAGATTAACCCTCCCACCCTTCGTCACTCCCCGATTTCAGAAAGAGGAAGGGAGAGGGAGAGAGAGATGGAAGCATTAATGATGAAAATCATTGATCGGCTGCCTCCTGCATGCCCCCTACTGGAGAATCGAGTCCAAAACCTGGGCATGTGCCTGATCAGGAATCCAACTCTGACCTCCTGGTTGATGCTCAACCACTGAGCCACCCTGGCCGTGACCTGGACTTTTGGTCAGACAGTCCAATTGCCTCTCTCAGTATCTGTCCTGGAATCCCCAAATGCTTGGACCAATATTCTTTGAGATCATCGAGGCTGTTTTCATTTTTAATATGCAAAACCTCAGCAGTGCTAAAAGGTCATGTTTTAAATTCATTTCATTATGTTAACATTCACCTTTATTTTATATATATATATTTAATATATTTTTATTGATTTCAGAGAGGAAGGGAGAGGGAGAGAGAGATAGAAACATCCATGATGAGAGAGAATCATTGATCAGCTGCCTCCTGCACACCCCCCAATGGGGATCAAGCCTGCAACCCAGGCATGTGCCCTTGACCGGAGTCAAACTCGCAGGCCGGTGCTCCATCCACTGAGCCAAACCAGCCAGAGCAACATTCACCTTTAAATATGAGTCTGCATTGTAGACCCACCAGCAAGGGCATCTCATATACTTTAGATGTAGAAATGATGTCAGTAGCCTTGGCCAGTGTGGCTCAGTGGTTCGGGCATCATCCCGTCCATCAGAAGGTCGCTGCCGCCGGTTCGACTCCCGGTTGGTACATGGGCCCTAGTTGTGGGTTCCATCCCCAGTTGGGCTCCGTATGGGAGGCAACCAATCGATGTTTCTCTCTCCTTCTCCCTCTCTTCCTCTCTCTCTAAACTCAATAAAAAGCTTTTTTTTTTTTTTTTTTTAAAGAATACAAGGCAGTGTGTTTCAGAATTTGCAATTAGTCTCAGAGTTGGGAAATGTCGGTGACTGTACATCTTGCGTTACTCACTCCTGAGAACTGCAAGGCCCCGCGGCCCTTTAGGCGAGTCGCCAAGCGTGGCCGGGGCACAGGGTTCTTGCACGGAGGCTCCGTGGGACAAACACGAAGAAGCAGCAAACCCGCTGCTCCTGCAGCCTCCGTGAGCCTCCCCGAGCCTCGCCAGGGACTTCCGCCCTGGCCCGCGGACACCCGGCTCGCAGACACCCACTGGGTCTAGGGCACAGATTTGCCTGTGGCTGCTGTGATTCTTGAAGACCGTTGTCCTGGCAACAACCTGAAATTCTTCATCAGGAATTTCAAATCCTCGTCTATATTCATTTATTTTCTTTGTATTGAATGTATTGCGGTGACACTCTTGTCTATATTTAGTGCCAATTAAGTATTTTTTTCCTTCTGTGTTTCTTCCTATGCAGAGTAGGCTGTCTGGCTTTGGGGCAGAGAGAGGGAGGGAGGAAAGGTGAAAAAGGAGAAGAAAGAGGAGGAAGAAGGAGGGAGGAGGGGGGGGGGAGAAGAGGTGGGGGGGGAGAAGGGGAGAGAGCAGAGACAGACAGAGGGCCGGAGGGAGAGAGAGGATGAGGAGGAGATGGAGCAGGAGGAGGAGGAGGAGGAGGAGAAGGAAGGAGATGAGAAGTAGGAAGGGGACGAGAGAAGGAGGAGCTGCTACAATGGAGCCAGGGAGACGGGGAGGAGGAGGAAGGGGGGAGGAAGGGGAGGCCTGGCTGTGGTTATAAACCTTGAGGGTGAACTGGGCGCCCCAGTCCGGGCCAGAGGAGGAGCATGGGACGGCGTGCGGGGCTCCTGCTGGCGTGGGCCTGGGGGCTCCTCAGCACCGTCAGCGCCGAAGGTGAGGAGTTTGGGACGGTGTGTGGGGCTGGGCACAGGTGCCTGGGCCACCGAGTCCGGGCCCCGGGAGGGCGAGGCTCACCCTTAGGTCTTGGGCTCTGAGAAGGAGAAAGACGCTCTCTACTTTGTCCAGTTAGCACACATGGTCCACTGCTGGGCTTGAAAACAAAAGAAAAGAAAAGGAAAGGAAAGAAAAGAGAAGAAAAGAAAAGAAAAGAAAAGAAAAGAAAAGAAAACATAAAAAGGGACTCCAGTAATACACACGAAAGACAGGGAATGTCAGCTGGAAAATTCTACTGACATAAGCGGTGCCTCCCTCCATCCCAGTCTGTGTTAAATGCCTCCTGTAGGGGTTTGCAAGGAAACGAAGGTTTGGGACGCCTGTCTCATTCCTTTACCAACCATGTCACCTTCAACAACGATAAGGTGACAACAGAGGAAGAGATTTCGTGGCGGATGCATTTCCCAGGAATGTGGTGAGGGTTACCCAGAGCTGCCAAAGCCGTTATTTTTTATGGGATGGCCAGGGACCAGGATCTTGCATGAGCGACTTTATTATATTTTTAAATATATTTTTATTGATTTCAGAGAGGAAGGGACAGGGAGAGAGAGAGAAACATCAATGATGAGAGAGAATCACTGATGGGCTGCCTCCTGCATGCCCCCTACTGGGGATTGAGCCGGAAACCAGCATGTGCCCTTGACTGGAATCGAACCTGGGACCCTTTCGTCCGCTCTATCCACTGAACCAAACTGGCTAGGGCGCATGCACGACTGTAAATATTTCCAGGCCATCTTCGCAGAAAAAGAAATCAAACACGGGGGTTGATAAAGGTCTAAAAACCCCCCAAAACAACCAGAAAAAACGAAAAGATGTTCTTCAGCGAGCTGTGATCACTGCTTGCTTATCAGTTGGAAGTTTTATTTCACGCCAATTGAAAAAGAGCAGTTTTTGACCTAGACAATCATCTCTTTATGGGATCTCACTTCTGTATGTGCATTTAAAACACCCATGGAAGGGAAAGAACTGGCGAAGATGGCCCTAAATCGCTTCCATGTGAGTGTCTGGCCTCCTGAAACATCATGTCATGTTTTCCCGCATATTTTCTCCGTGTGAAGAGTCTTAGTGCCCTGGCCGGTGGCTCAGCTGCAGGAGGCATCGTCCCACCCACCGAGAGGTTGCAGGTTCCACTCCGGGTCAGGGTACACACCTAGGACTCCGTGTATACGGGAGGCAACTGATCTCTCTCTCTCTCTTTCTCTCTCTCTCAATTTATCTTTATTGTTGAAAGAATTACGATGTCCCCTTTTCCCTCATTCACTCCCTCCCCACCACCCCGCCCTCCCCTCACAGCCTTCACCACACTATTGTCTGTGACCGCGGCTTATGCATACACGCATACGAGTCCTTTGGTTTATCTCTTCCCACCCACCCACCCTCCCTCCCTCACCCCTGCCTTCCCTCTGAGATTCTGAATTCTATTCTTTGCTTCTATGTCTCTGGACCTGTTTTGTTCATCCGTTTATTTTGTTCATTGGATTCCACAGAGCAGTGAGATCAGGTGATACAGCAGCCAGACCCACTCAGCAACATCACGGAGCTCAGTTGCGTCTTCGGGATGTTAGCTCTCCGGTCTGTGCGACGGCGGAGAGAATGCTTGTCTCCCAACGTTCTGATGCGTTCGGCGTGGCGCCCGGGCCTGGGAAGATGCTCAGTGCCTTTGCCTCCCCTCCGTACCCCAGTGGTCTCATCTCCATTTCTCTTTCCTCGAGGAAGGGATTTCCATTTAGGCAGCGACCGCTCCAAAGGCATGAATCCCTAAGAGGAGAATTCAGGAGGGAGTGAGAAGGGTGACAGACATGGGAGAAATATGTTGTATTCCATATCAGAAACACCACCAAGCCCTCCCCGAAGTCTAGCCTGAATCTCGCTGATGACAGACAGTGGTGATGAAGAAATGGCGACGGTGATGAAGATGGTGATGCTGCTGCTGACAGTTCAATGGTTATGACATTGGTGGTAGCAATAGCAGGTCTCTGTTGCTAAGTGCTTTCTTTGTTCCCGACGATATTCTACGGAGTCTATATGCATAAAACATCTGTTCCTCACAATAACCCACCAGGCAGGTGACAGCACGGCCCTAGTTTTGTAGCAGAGAATCCGAGGCACAGGGGGGCTGAGTCATTTTCCTAAAGCCACTCAGCTTGCGGGTGACAACTGGGATTTGCACTAAAGATTCTGAGAAAGCCTATTTCCTTTCTTTTTCTTTATTTTTATAATGCTCACCTGAGGATATGTTTTCATTGATTTTAAAGAGAGAAAAGTGACAGGGAGAGAGAGAGAAACATCAATTGGTTACCGTCCAATGTGTCCCACCGGGGGATGGAACCCACAACCTGGGCATGTGCCCTGACCTGGAGTCACACCATGACCTCCTGGTTCATAGGTCGACGCTCAACCACTGAGCCACGCCAGCTGGACAGAGAGCATATTTCTTTCTTTTTCTTTTCTTTTTAAAAAATTTACATTTTTTCTTTCTTTATTGTTTAAAGTATTACAAATAGTAGTACATATGTCTCCTTTTTTCCCCCAATTGACATTCCCCAACCCCCGGCACATGCCCTCACCTCCCTCCCAGTGTCTTGCATCCACTGGTTATGCTTATAGGCATGCACACAAGTACTTCGGCTGATATCTTACCACCCCCCGCCCCACTCAACCCTCCCCTTCTTTAGCCACATCTCCGCACTGTCCATGTGTATTTGTGTCCTCCTACTGGCATCTTTCACCTGTAAGGGACTCTCTCCCTCTTGCTGCCGCATTTCCTGCTCCTAGAGAAAGAAGTTTCATCTTTTGTACAGGTTGCCTGTTTAACACCTACAGGCATTGAGATGCAGCCTGCGTCCTGGTCTTAGAGAAGCAGTTGAAGTTCTGCAAACAATGGCCAATGCCTTAGTACTTTCTGTGAGATTTCCTGTAACTTCAATATTTGCCAGACATGAAAGGCCCCTAAGCTTGAATTCTGCAGCAATTTTTAGTGGCTATAAGTGCTCTATGGTTTGTGAAAATGTATGGCCAACCTGAGTGAGTTATCGGATAGGGGAGGAAATAATAACGATTTCTGTAAGAAGGGAACCCCTTATCCTTGCAACAAAATTGTCCCCATCTGCTAAGTGCTTTCTATGCTCCGTTGTGCCGCAGAGCCCTGAGGCACCTGTTCATCCACAGTATTGAAAATTTATTTTATTTTTTTGAGAGAGGAAGGGAGAGGGAGAGAGAGAAACAGGGATGTGAGAGAGAAACATCGATCAGCTGCCTCCTGCTGGTCCCCTGCTGGGGATCGAGTCCACAACCCGGGCATGTGCCCTGACCGGGAATCGGACGGGTGGCCTCTGGGTGCACAGGACGATGCCCAATCAACTGAGGCAAATATGTGTTCATCTCATCCTCACACCGAACCGATTGAGTTGAATGCAAAGGTTCTTTTTTAGCAGATGCTAAAACTAATTTGATCTCATTGTATAAGCCAAGGATACTTCCATAAAACGTTCTTCAACTTGTACCTTTCAGAGAGGACCAAAAAGAAATAAGAACAGAAAAGAAGGGTGAAATGATAGAACACATTTTTCCTCCTATGATGTGGTTTATTCTGTAGGAAAGTGTGGGAAAAGTTAATGGCTGTTGCCTGCTGAATTTTTTGTTTTAAAAATAATTTTAATTTTTCCTGTTCAATAACAATATTTGGAAACTATAGTTAAGGCAAAGGGGAAAATTAGGAATCTAATTTCTAATCACGCTATTAAAAATGAGCACTATTGAAATTTGGATGCATCGCCTTTAAAATATTATGATTACTAGGATATAATTTGGTAAAATTTATTTTATTTCCAAGGCTAAATCTAGTGAAATAAATATTTGTTTAAAATTGTGTCTTTCAGATTATGGTGTGGCAACTACAGGTGAGTGGCTCAAAACTCTTTTATTACAGTTTCTTTATTTATTTTGCAATAAAATGTGAAGTTGTTGAACATTATATTTTTTTCCTGTACGAAATCATATTTTTCATGAAAAACTGCTACTTTATGTCCTTGAACTTAAAAAAAGTACATTTTACGTTAAAAATCATTAAGGAAAAGGAAGAGAGCAATCAATTTTACTGTTAATATTTAAACATGATCAAATATTTCATTAAAAAATGAGCACTATTGAAATTTGGATGCATCACCTTTAAAATATTATGAGTACTCAGATATAATTTGGTAAAATTTATTTTATTTCCAAGGCTAAATCTAGTGAAATAAATATTTCTTTAAAATTGTGTCTTTCAGTTGATGATATGCCAATTGCTGGTGAGTAGCTCAAAACTTTTATTACAGTTTCTTTTTTTAATTTATTTTTTTCATATTTATTGTTCAGATTATTACATTTGTTCCTCTTTTTCCCCCCCATTGCTCCCCTCCACCCAGTTCCCACCCCACCCTCTGCCCTTATCCCCCCCCACTGTCCTCATCCATAGGTGTACGATTTTTGTCCAGTCTCTTCCCACACCCCCACACCCCTTTTCCTCCCCCAATAATTGTCAGTCCACTCCCTTTCTATGCCCCTGATTCTATTATATTCACCAGTTTACTCTGTTCATCAGATTTTTTATTCCCTTGATTTTCAGATTCACTTCTTGATAGATATGTATTTGTTGTTCATAATTTGTATCTTTACCTTTTTCTTCTTCCTCTTCTTAAAGAATACCTTTCAGCATTTCATATAATACTGGTTTGGTGGTGATGAACTCCTTTAGCTTTTTCTTATCCGTGAAGCTCTTTATCTGACCTTCAGTTCTGAATGATAGCTTTGCTGGGTAAAGTAATCTTGGTTGTAGGTTCTTGCTATTCATCACTTTGAATATTTCTTGCCACTCCCTTCTGGCCTGCAAAGTTTCTGTTGAGAAATCAGCTGGTATTCCCTTGTAGGTAATTGACTGTCTTTCTCTTGCTACTTTTAAGATTCTCTTTGTCTTTTGCTCTTGGCATTTTAATTATGATGTGTCTTGGTGTGGTCCTCTTTGGATTCCTTTTGTTTGGGGTTCTCTGCGCTTCCTGGACTTGTAAGTCTATTATTTCACCAGGTAGGGGACGTTTTCTGTCATGATTTCTTCAAATAAGTTTTCAATATCTTGCTCTCTCTCTTCTTCTGGCACCCCTATAATTCGGATGTTGGTATGCTTGAAGTTGTCCCAGAGGCTCCTTACACTATCTTGATCTTTTTGGATTCTTTTTTCTTTTTGCTTTTCTGGTTGGGTGTTTTTTGCTTCTTCGTATTTCAAATCTTTGACTTGATTCTTGGGATCCTCTTGTCTGCTGTTGGATCTCTGTATATTATTCTTTATTTCAGTTGGTGTATGCTTAATTTTTAGTTGGTCCTTTTTCATATCCTTGAGGGTCTCACTAAATTTATCAGCGGTTTCTAGAAAATTCTTGAAAAACCTTATAATTGTGGTTTTGAACTCTATATCCAGCAGTTTGCTTTCCTCCATTTCTGTCATTTGTGATCTGTTTCTTTGTTTCCGCATTTTGTCTGCTTCCCTGTGTTGATAGAGTGGCTTTGTGTGCTAGGTGTCCTATAGGGCCCAGTGGCTCAGCCTCCCCAATTACCTGAGGTAGACAATCTTGGTGCACCCCTTTGTGGGCTGTGTGCACAGTCTTTTGTAGTTAAGCCTTGGTTGTTGTTGGTATCAATTGACCTCCAGGCCAATTGTCTGTGAGAATCAGCTGTGTGTACAGTCGGAGAACTTCTGTGCTGAAGACTCCCTTATGAGGCAAGACTTGCTTCAGTGGAGCTTTGATGCTCACTGAGTCTGACCCTGAGTATGTCCCTTATGGATCTGAGGAGCTGTAATCTGGATGGTCCCAATCTGACCACTGGGTACACGGGCTCTTGGATCTAAGGAGGTGCTAATTTAGCCTCTGCCTGAGGCTACTCAGCAGGAGGTACACAGAGATCTGCAGATTCCTCTTCCTTATTTGGGGTTTGGAGGTGCCCAGATGAGGCCCAGCTGTGAAGCAATGCAAGCTTCTGTGGGGCCTTGGACCTTCTTTTGGATGTTCTGGGTCTCTCTGACCCAGCTGCAGTTTGTTAGGTAATTTTAGATCTCAAATGGCCAACCCATTCATATGCAAAAGCCTCTGTTAGCAGCTTGGGTGGGGCGGGGCTCAGGGAATCAACAGGTCAGAGCAAACAGCTATGGCTGATCCTCAGCCCAACCCTAAGGGGCCCGGGGTCTCAGTGAATCATCTCAGTGTCCTGCGGTTATTGCTGCAAGCACCTGAGAGAAAGCCGCCCTTGAGTTCTGCCTGCTGCCAGACAGTCCAGTTTCTCCCATATGAGTCTGGGTCCCCAAGAGACTCTCCTGGAACTGGAGTTCAGAGCAGTCTGGAGGTTGAGACTCCCTCCTGATTGGAAAAGACACCAGCATCCTCCGTTGCCAGCCCTTTCCTCAGGCGCCCGCCTCTGTACCTCTGCACTTTACTTCCGCACCTCCCCTGAGTCTCAGTGTGCTTTTCTCTTTCCTTCTAGTTGTAGAATTTCCACTCAGCCAGCCTTCCTGTGGTTCTGGATGATGTCTGTTTTGTCTTTTCGTTGTATTTTTGAAGTGGTTGTGCGAGGCAGCCATTTCAGGTGTTTACCTATGCCACCATCTTGGTTTCTCAACCTACAGTTTCTTTTTATATTTCGCAATAAAATGTGAAGTTGTTGAACATTATATATTTTTTTCCTGTAAGAAATCATATTTTTCATGAAAAACTGCTACTTTATGTCCTTGAACATAAGAAAGTACATTCTATGTTAAAAATCATTAAGGAAAAGGAAAAGAACAATCAATTTTACTGTTAATATTTTCACACGATCAAATATTTCATTATATACAACCTAATAATGTGACTTTCATTTTGCAGAACTAGTTTTATAGAACATAACGAAATAGGAGATGCCTTACGTCACCTACAGATGAAGTCCAAAATTTTCCATTCCTATGCTATATCTCCTGTTTGCCTGTACGACATTATAAAGCCATATTTTACTTTAAAATTCCCGTAGTGATGAACATTTTTGAATTGATTTCTATTTGTTGTGCTATTATTCGCCATGCTAAAATGAACATTCTTTTTTTTTTTTTTAAATATATTTTATTGATTTTTTACAGAGAGGAAGGGAGAGAGATAGAGAGTTAGAAACATCGATGAGAGAGAAACATCGATCAGCTGCCTCCTGAACATCCCCCACTGGGGATATGCCCGCAACCCAGGTACATGCCCTTGACCGGAATCGAACCCAGGACCCTTCAGTCCGCAGGCCAACGCTCTATCCACTGAGCCAAACCGGTTTCGGCTAAAATGAACATTCTGAACCTGAATGTCATTCCAAGCAAAACCAGGGAAGTACAGAGGTCAGGGGTGTCTACTTTGACCAGTGCTCCTTAACATTATCGGGGGAGGGGGTGTTCTAACATAGGTGATACTGCAAAAAGGAAATAGCCTGTAAGCCTACAGAAAATTATGGGCAGCATTATTTTATGATGGTAAACTTAAAAGTGCCTAGGAACACTGGGAAAGATGACGAGTTTTAACAGAAGACGCTGGCTATGTGGCTGGATATAAGACAAACATACACAGTCAATCGTTTTTCTCCTTGCTGGTAAGAACTTACTACACGTTGATGAAAAAGGAAGCACTCTACTTTACATCAATGGTGAAAACCGCCGTGGAGTGAAATCGGCAAGCAATGTGCAGGACTTAGGGGAAGTCAGTGATAACACCATCCTGAAGAACATGAAGCGATTCTAAAACACAGACTCTCACGCCGTGTTCTTGGTTGGAAGACATAAGAGCGAAATAAACATCAGCTTCACATTTTATTTTTCAGAAACGATGCCATACTTTCCAGAAATGAAAGGTAGGTTGACCATAAAACGTTTACTATGGCCCTGGCTGCTGTGGGTCAGTGGTTAGAGTGCTGGCCTGCCCACTGAAGGGTCGCTGGTTCCAGATGTTTCTTCTTCTCTCCCCCCTTTTCACTCTCTCTAAATATATATATTTATTATATATTTATTATATAGGTGAGCCTGGCTTCTGGCTGAGTGGTGCTCCCCCTGTGGGAGCACACTGACCACCAGGGGGCAGCTCCTGTGTTGAGCATCTGTCCCCTGGTGGTCAGTGCAAGTCATAGCGACTGGCCGACCGGTCGTTCCGGTCATTCTGGTCATTCGGTCGTAACGGTTGCTTAGGCTTTTATATATACAGAGAGAGATGGGTAGATTCAGACATCCATATGGACCTGGAAAAAGTGTGGAAAGATACAAGCCTACATTCTGTGTGTCTGTGTGCATGTGTGTGTGCACATGGGTGTGTGTGAAGACGGAAGAGGGTGAAGAAAAGAGGCAGAAGGGAAATCGTTTAATAGATAAATGGCCACATGTATGTTTCTAAGCTTAGGGTCGGTTTCTGGAACTGGGGCCGGATGCTAAGCAAAATGTCAAGGCCGTTCATGCGATGGGAATAGTGGGACAGGGGAGTGTGTCTAAAGCTAACCCTTTGTGGGGAGTGAGGCCCAGCAGCCCTGCTTCTGGGGGTGGATAAGCTCCAGCAGAACGCAGGCGGGGGGCTCCGGGCAGGGCAGAACCACCCTTCTGAGGAGAGGGGCATGGCAGCACCTCAACCCGCCGCCCAGAGATGGAGGCAGTGTGTTCGTTTTCTCTAGATGGCAAGTGTTTCTTTCCGTTCCGCTATAAGGACAACCTGTACTACGACTGTATCAAGTTCAAGGCCAAGCACAAGTGGTGCTCCGTGACGGAGAACTTTGAAGGCTACTGGAAGTACTGCTCTGAGACAGGTGAGTGCCTGCCTCTGACGACCTCAGGGGGCATCTTCAGCCCAGCGCTGAGCGTCTCTGAGATCCTCATACGGTTCTGCACATGGGACACACAGTCCTAGCAGCCACTTGGCTCAGTGGTGGGAGCGCTGACCTGAGGACTGAAGGGTTGCGGGTTCGACTCCAGTGAAAGGCGTGTACTTGCGTTGTAGGTTCGATGCCCAGCCCTGATTGGGGACACCTGGGGGAGGCAACCAACTGATGTGTTGCTCTCACATTGATGTTCCTTTCTCTCTCTCTCTCTCTCTCTCTCTCTCTCTCTCTCTCTTTCCCTTTCCCTGCCACTTTTTCTAAAAACCATTGGGAAAATATCCTTGGGTGAGGATTAGCAAAACAAAAGAAAACAAATGGAATGCACAGGCCATTACATTGTGAAAAATAGGTTGTGTGCAGGTCTCTGATGGTACGGAAACCACGGGCCACCAAAGACAGACGAGTGCTTCAAGCGCATTCAGATACATCTGTGGGCAGCAGAACCCCCACCCGCCACCAATGCTGCTGCCATATGCGCTGGGTGGAATAGAGCAAGAGTGGAAAAGTCCGCGTGCTCTCGTGCTCGTGTGCGTGGGCGTGCGTGTGTGTTAGGATGAAGAGGAGGCACTGGATAGGAAGGTTTCTTATTCCCATGGCTTCTTTCTTCTCCGCAGACTTCGCAAAATGCGTGTTTCCCTTCTGGTTCAGACGCACCATCTACTGGGGATGTACCGACGACTCGGAAGCATTTGGGAAACGATGGTGCTCACTGACCCGGAATTTCAACAAAGAGAAGGTCTGGAAGTATTGCGATGACATGTACTTGCCTCAACACTGAAGGGGTGCACGGACCCTCAGGGGAGCGAACCTACAGCGTTTGCTGGGGAGGGGAGGGGAGGTAGGACGCTCCCTGAGATGCGATTTGAAGGGGATCCGGCTGGTGGAAATGAGAAGAAGTGATGGATGTTACTTCCTGGCCTGGCCAAACATAGGTTTTCCTCCAAAGTCTTCCAGACTCTCTTGATCTTTGTCTATCAGCAAAGAATCCACAGAGCATTCTGAAGTCCTTGGGGATGGTGGTCCCCAAGACAAAAGAAGCCGGATCCCTGCCAACTCGATGCACCCTCATTGGATTTCATAGGAGCAAGAAATAAAATGTTCTTGGGTGAAGCTTCTGATACTTTGGAGTTTGTTACAATAGCTGTTCTTACTACCCTGATAAATGCATACTTTTAAAATACAAATCCAGGGTCTCATGGACTCGAGTGCTTGCCTAGTGGCTCCAAGTTAGGAATCTCTGGAATATAGAATGTGATCATTGAAAAAGAACTTCATGGGCCCGGCTGGCGTGGCTCAGCGGTTGAGCTTCGAGCTATGATCTAGGAGGTCATGGTTTGATTCCTGGTCAGGGCACATGCCGGCTCAATCCCCAGTAGGGGACATGCAGGAGGCAGCTGGTCAATGATTCTCTCTCATCATTGATGTTTCTCTCTCTCTCCCTCTCCCTTCTTCTCTGAAATCAATAAAAATACATTTTTTTAAAAAAGAAAAGGGACTTCATAAAATTAAAGTGCATGAATATGAGTGTTTTTTGAGTTTTAGCCAAGGGACAAGGACGTGCCAGGCAGAAAAGGATTCTAACTGTTGAGAATGTTTCGCCATAACTTGCATGATTATATAGATAATCAAGGTCTCACTATGCTGACCATACAATCTTTGGGTGGTTAATTAATTAAAAATTTGGGGGGGGTGTGGCTAATTTAGATTCCTAGATACATTAAGAGTGTAGCTGCCCTGGCTGGCTTGCTCAGTTGGTTGGAACCTCAATCCGTGCACCAAAAGGTTGCAGGTTTGATTCCCAGCCAGGGCACACACCTAGGTGTCGTTTTGGTCCTGAGTTCAGGCACGTATAGGAGGCAACCAATCAATGTTTCTCTCTCTTTTCCTTCCTTCTCTTCAAAATCAATAAAAAGCATATAAAAAGCATAAGTTGAGGAATCACATTATACTAAGTGAAATAAGCCAGTCGGAGAAAGATAAATATCACATGATCTCACTCATATGTGGGATATAATCATCAACATAATTTGATGAACAAGAATGGATCAGTCTAGGGACAAATGGTAGGGATGGGAGGGGGCGTGGTTAGAGAGCAACCAAAGGACGTGTATGCATGCATATTAGCTTAACCAATGGATACAGACACTGGGGCGGTGGGGGCTTGCCCGGGGTGGGAATGGCTGGGGAAAGGGGGGGCTCAATTGGGGAAAAAAGAGACATATGTAAAACTTTAGACAATAAAAAAAGCATAGCCCCCCACATACTAGAACGGCTACTATGGAAAAAGAGGCAGAGAATAACAAGTGCTGGCAAGGATGTGGAGAAATCAAAACACTAGTGCCCCGTCGGTGAGAATGTAAAATGGTACAGTTGCTGTGGAAAACAGTATGACAGTTTCTCAAAGAAAATTAAAAAATATATATAATTATTGTATGACCCAGCAGTTCCACTTCCGGGCACACGCCCCAAAAAACTGACAGCAGGACCTCAAAGAGATGTTTGTTCACCCGGGTCCATGGCAGTATTACTTGCCAAAGCCAAAGGGTGGAAGCCACCCAAGTGTCCATCGATGGGTGGATGGAGAAACCAAATGTGGTGTCTATGCAGACAGTGGGATATTATTCGTCTTTGAAAGGAAAACAAATGCTGACACATGCTATGACATGGATGAGCCTGGAGGAAATTATGCTGAGTGAGGTAAGCCAGTCACAAAAGGACGAATGTTGCATGAGTCCCTTTATGTGAGGCACCTGGAGCAGCTGAACTCATAGAGGCAGAGAGTCCAGAGGTGGTTGTCAGAGTCTGCGGGGGGTGGGGGGGGGGGTGGGGGCGTGGAATAGAAGTTATTTAATGAGGACAAAATGAGAAGAGTCCTGAATATTGGTTCCCAGCAATGTACTTAACATTACTCAGCTGTGCACTTCAAATCGATTAAGACGGTAAACTTTATGTTCTGTGTATTTTATTACAATTTTTTTTAGCAGTTAAATTTATTTTTATTTTTATTTTTTTATTGCTTAAAGTATTACAAAGGGTATTACATATGTCTCCTTTTTTCCCCCACCCTTGACAGTCCCCTGGCCTCCCCTACCCCCCAATGCCTTATGTCCATTGGTTATGCTTATATGCATGCATATAAGTCCTTCGTTGATCTCTTACCTGCCCCCCCCTTCTGCCCCCCTCCCCTCCCCAGCCTTCCCGCTGCAGTTTAACAGTCTGTTTGAGGCAGCTCTGCCTCTGTATCTATTTTTGTTCATATGTTTATAATGGTCTTTATTATCCATGAATGAGTGAGATCATGTGGTATTTTTCCTTCATTGACTGGCTGATTTCACTTAGCGTAATGCTCTCCAGTTCCATCCATGCCGTTGCAAATGGTAAGAGTTCCTTCTTTTTTACAGCAGCATAGTATTCCATCATGTAGATGTACCACAGTTTTCTAATCCATTCATCTACTGATGGGCACTTAGGCTGTTTCCAGATCTTAGCTATGGTGAATTGTACTGCTATGAACATAGGGGTGCATATATCCTTTCTGATTGGTGTTTCTGGTTTCTTGGGATATATTCCTAGAAGTGGGATCACAGGGTCAAATGGGAGTTCCATTTTTAGTTTTTTGAGGAAACTCCATACTGTCTTCCATAGTGGCTGCACCAGTCTGCATTCCCACCATCAGTGCACGAGTGTTCCTTTTTCTCCACATCCTCTCCAGCACTTGTCGTTTGTGGATTTGTTGATGATAGCCAGTCTGACAGGTGTGAGATGGTACCTCATTGTTGTTTTGATTTGCATCTCTCGGATGATTAGAGACTGAGCATGTTTTCATATGTCTCTTGGCTTTCTGAAAGTCCTCTTTTGAAAGGTGTCTATTTAGGTCCTTTGCCCATTTTTTGATTGGATTGTTTATCTTCCTTTTGTTAAGTTGTATGAGTTCCCTATAAATTTTGGAGATTAGGCCCTTATCAGATATGATATTGGCAAATACGTTTTCCCATGCAGTGGACTTTCTTGTTGTTTTGTTGATGGTTTCTTTTGCTGTGCAGAAGCTTTTCATTTTGATGTAGTCCCATTTGTTCATTTTCTCTTTAATTTCAAGTGCCCTAGGAGGTGTATCAGTGAAGAAATTGCTTCGGCATATGTCTGAGATTTTCTTGCCTTTGGATTCTTCTAGAATTTTTATGGTTTCTCGTCGTACATTGCCGGAAGCCAGTTCATCCTTGCTGCTTGACACAGTCGCTGCAGGAAAGAAACATCTGCACAGCATATGTTTCAAGGGACCTGGCGTATATAGAATACTGTTCTTAATATGTTTGCTCCCCTTAGCGCTGTGTGTTTTAACCAAGGTCACCTCTCCGAGAAAGGTTGTTTCCCCAGGTAGGAATTTTTCCCTGAAGTCAGGGAGGGGATGCCTCTCCTAGAAAGGTTGTTTCCCCAGGTAGGAATGTTTCCCTGAAGTCAGGGAGGGGATGAAACTCCTTAACTAAGTGCCAGGGGGGTAGTTAATCACTACAAACAATCATGCTTAAGCTACATAATCTTTACTCCCTGGAATGGAGATAAGAAACGCCCTAACCTTTGTAATAGAAATTGACAGGATTAAAATCAACTGGTATAAATACGGATGTAACAAGACAATAAACAGCAGAACCTCTCTGGAGATCCAGACCAGAACTTGGCTGGAGATCCTGGCTGGAGATCCTGGCTAGGCTGCTGATCAACTGAACACTGTCTCCATGTCCTTCCTTCTTCGCCGACTCCATCCACACCTTTGGGGACCCCTGGACCTGCTGGGGCAGGACCCCGGCAGTACATTTAAGTCCTTTATCCATTTTGAGTTTATTTTTGTGTATGGTGTAAGTTGGTGGTCTAGTTTCATTTTCTTGCATGTATCTGTCCAATTTTCCCAACAGCATTTATTGAAGAGACTATCTTGACTCCATTGTATGTTCTTGCCTCCTTTGTCAAATATTAATTGAGCATATTGGTTCGGGCCGATTTCTGGGCTCTCTATTCTATTCCATTGATCTATATGTCTGTTCTTGTGCCAGTACCAGGCAGTTTTGAGAACAGTGGCTTTGTAATACATCTTGATATCTGGTATTGAGATCCCACTTACTTTGTTCTTTTTTCAGGATTGCTGCAGCTATTCGGGGTCTTTTTTTATTCCAGATGAATTTTTGGAGAGTTCGTTCTAGATCTATGAAATATGCTGTTGGTATTTTAATGGGAAGTGTGTTGAATTTATAGATTGCTTTGGGTAGTATGGACATTTTAATGATATTGATTCTACCAGTCCATGAACACGGTATGTTCTTCCATCTGTCTATGTCTTCCTCTATCTCTTTTTTCAACGTCCTGTAGTTTTCTGAGTAGAGGTCTTTTACCTCTTTAGTTAAGTTTATTCCTAGGTAGCTTAATTTTTTTGGTGCGATGGTAAATGGGATTGTTTTTTTAGTCTCTCTTTCTGAAAGTTCACTATTGGTGTATAAAAATGCCTTAGATTTCTTGGGGTTAATTTTGTATCCTGCTACATTGCTAAATTCATGTATTAAGTCTAGTAGTTTTTTGATGGAGTCTTTAGGGTTTTGTGTGTATAATATCATGTCGTCTGCAAATAAGGACAGTTTTACTTCCTCTTTTCCAATTTGGATGCCTTTTATTTCTTCTTCTTGTCTAATTGCAATGGCTAATACTTCCAGTACTATGTTGAACAGAAGTGGTGAGAGTGGGCATCCCTGTCTTGTTCCTGTTCTTAGGGGAAATGGTTTTAGTTTTTGT